GTGAGCTGTACTGCATTGATTTCCTCGTCTTCTGTCACACCTCCTCTTCTCTTGTCTTTACCGCTGTCTCGTTCTTGTCTCGTCAGCTCCGGCATTCGCAGTCTGGAGTCTTTGTGTCTCCAGGTGACAGACCTGTTTCCAGGGTTACGGCGGATGCAGTCGGTGCTGCCAGAGCATGGCTGCCTTCTTGTTTCTCCTGGCAACTACTGGCAGAACCAACGGGAGCTGTTTGACTCGGACCCCGACCCCCTCAAGACCATCCAGAAACATGAACCGAAAGGCTTGCACACCTCAGCGACATTGCGAGGTAGTAATGGGGAAAGCTCTGATTCAATAGCGGCCTCCCCTCGTGTGTGGGTGTGTGTGCAGTAGGTTCTGTGTACAGTATTGCTAACAAACCATTCCCATGACAGACCTTTGATCAACAGGCAGGTACATACATATAACTCAGTTTGGTCTGCTACCATATTCTACTCAGAAAAAGCCCTGGGACATTTCTCTTTTTGAGGTTCTACTCACATTCTAATAATTGTTACTGTAACCAACTGTACCCTGCCAAGGAGTGGTTAAGTGAACGTGTTCAGACCAAGTCTCTGTCACCGTCCACAGAGCATGTGGTGTCATCCTGAAGCATGCCCAAGATTAGAGCTTCCTTAACTGGTCTTTGTGAAAATCGATGTATTAAGTAATTAACAAATCGTAAAACAATAGGACATTGTGTCATTGCGTCCGAAATGTTCTCACGCCTGTCAGTAGGTGTGGGAGCATTTTTTATTTTGACAAAATCTGAAAGCTCCAGTCCGGCCTGTGTTCTTATTGCTTTTTGCCATGCAATGATCCATGAGAGGATTAATTCATTCTGAACTACAGGCATTTTTTAAATCGAGTCTGTCAGAAACTGCCATTGTTGATCACCATATTGAGCACCTCGTGTCTATTGTATAGTCGGTTAAAGTGCAGGGGAAAAGAATGTGTCATACTCTGACTGCCTTGTTGAAAGTAGTCTGCCATCATTCAGCATGAGTAATTGTCGGTAGTAGTGAGCAGGGGATTAGTTGTATCAGCCAACTAAGAGGCTTTCGTATTGACAGAGAACAAGCAGTTTCATTCCTTGGGAACTTATTGAATTCTTTTAAAATGCTACCCACTGACATAGTGAACCAAGTTTCCCCTTCAGCATTTTGCCACATCTGCCAGTTCAAGAGATATTAAAGATATAGTCGGGGACAGCTTGGCTGTCAGATAAAGTTAGACTGATGTGCTTGTTCACACTGAGCTGACTCGAGGCTTGTCAGCCTGGTTACATTGGGGATTATATTTCAGCTGCTCTTGCAGGGCAGGGGAGCCCCAAACTCCACCAGGTACCCAGTGTAAAATATATAACTATGAGAGATGGCAGTCAGTGAGGATGAATGTATTTTGAGGTCATTTTGTGAACGTATGGATGGATCTGAGTTTAGTGATTGTGTTCCAGGCTTTCATTCTAATGGCTTAGTTTTTAGTTTTATAGCAGTTGCCTTTTTGGTTCCTGAACTTATTTACTCCTTTATAACTTCACCCTCATGTCTGAGACCAGAGCTGATGGATTGATTTGCTTTTTGAGTGAGCTTCAAGTTGCCATTTAACTTCATTATTCAAACCAGGATGTTGTCACTTAGGGTTTTTGTTTTTTTTGTTTTGTTTTGTTTAAACAGTGAGGTATTTTTTTTCTGCTTTTACGTGTGCTCCTGATCACTAAGATGTTTCCTTGTGTTGTGACTAAGATCAAAAGAACTTGGTGACAACAGCAGATTCCCACAAAGCTTTCTAAGCCTAAAACTGCTCTAAAACGTCTCTTTTCTTTTTATTCTTATAAAGAAGTGGTAACTGTATCAGTTCTGACACAGACCTAAGGGCTTTGAGAATGTTTGGCTGGTGACTAATGAATAACCAGTGGTCAACCTAAAGTGATCTGTAAAAATGTGGTCTGTTACTAGAATATGAAGAGTCTATTTACATGAAGATGTTTACTGTGTGTGTTTTAGACTTGCTGTTCGGGGTTCCTGTGAAGCACTCGGGGGTCAGTCACTACAACAGGAAGAGGGTGGTGACCTACACAATCACTGTAGTTCTATCCAGTTATGATGCAAGGTGAGTTACAAAGGCAATAGAACAGAAAAGTAAAAGGCAGTTCTATTTAAATTTAGTTTTAAGGGATGTCACTGGAAAATTTAGGGTTTTTTTGTTTGTTTTTTTTTTTTTTTCTCGTTTCATATTTTTGTCATCTCTAACTCTGTGACTCTTGGACGGTAATGCTGCTTTAGAAAAAGCTTAAGACACAAAATACACACTTCCTTAAACTTTAAACTAATAGTTAAAATCGGTAAACAGAAATAAGAAAAAATAATTACAAACTACACTTAAGAAATATATATTTTACTATTGGAACTAAATTGAAAAGAGATTGTCCTTAAAGAAATTTCAATCTTTTGTAGTTTACTAAAATTTTCAGAGAAGAAGCTTGAGGAGGGTGAGACTGGGATGTTTCCATGACTTTGAGTCGAGTGTCTTTTGGAGCGTTTTCTGTTGTATCGTCTGTCTGTTCTGGGCTTGCCCACGGTCGAACTTTGTTTCTATACATTAAAAACTAAACTAAAAGAACAAACCATCTCTGGAAACTAACTGAAACTGAGATCTACAAACTAACTCTGGAGCCTGAACAGAGTAGGAGTCTGTGACTTAGGTTTTGCATTTTATTGTATTTCACTTTTTCAATAGAACGGCATAAATAGTCAGAACTGTCTTCTCCTTGGATTAATGGCATCTGTCCCTCGAGGCCAAGTGTCTTTTTCTCAAAATTAAGAATGGAGTGATGAAGCTTGTTACTCCATGTGACGATGATTAATTGTTATTTGTGTGTGTGTCCAGGTTCCTAGCCAGCCTACGGGGCCGCCTGAAGCAGCTTCACCCATCCGCCAACTGCACCCTCAGAGATGACCACATGGTCCACGTCCACTTCAAGGAGGAGATCGGCATTGCTGAACTCATCCCCCTCGTCACCACATACATCATTCTTTTTGCCTACATCTACTTCTCTACACGTTAGTCCAACTCCCTTTAAATCTGCTTTGTACTTGTGTTCAAACATCTCGACTCCCCCCACCACTACCACTTGTTTGCACACCTCACCACAGTTAAAACAGAAAAGTGCCAGAGAATGAGGGCAAAACGTGCTGTGCCCTTTTGTGTGCACAAGTGTTTGGGTGCCAAGGTTGTCCCTGTCTGCTGCAGGGATAATCCTCACATGGGAACATTGCACACCGCTGTAAGAATGCACCCACCAAACCATCGGCAGCTTGCCAGCACAAACATTAGCTCAGGGAACGAACACACACACTCGTGCACACAGACACACATGCCGTCCAAGTACTCAAATGACTTTTCACCTGCAAGGTGGTTAAATTACTCACAATTGGCTCCTGATATGCACTTGTAATTGCAGTATAAGTATTTAGATAATTATTCAATGAGACTAATGTTCCAAAGCTTCAGAGACATACCTTGATGTTTGTTGTTAGCACATCTTTCCTGCTCTTTGCACGTTCATGCTGTTTTAAATTCTCAGTAACACAATATTTGTTGTTAAACAGTGAAACAAGCAAGAAATCACACACACACACACAACCCATTACAATCAATGCAAACACAATTTTTCACTTTGCTACTAAAATCCTGATATCCTCTGAAAATGTTACCATTCAGAGATGTTGAAGAAATGGCTGTGCTGTAATTTTGACCACCAGAGAAAAATTTAGTATGTCGCTTTTTTATGATTCAGATTGTTAGCATCAACAGCTCTTTGACTTTCAGTGTTACATGTGTAACCAACATTGCCTGACTTTTATGCCAACTGAAAAGTGAAGAAACTTTGATTACATGTCAGAGCAGACTGGGCTGCTAGTGTCTCAGACAGTGAAAAGTGGTGCTGCGCAAAGTATAGTTTAAGGAAAAATTGTATATCTTTTTAAACATTAAAACATGTAAATACAGGAAAAAAGCATTCAGCAGAACTTTGCAGCCACTGCAGTTGTATAACCGTTCTTCATGAAATTCACATTAAACAGTAAAAAGAAGGGAATTTTATTTAGGAAGTGTGATATGAAACGGGGTCTGTGCAGCATTAGACAGTGGAAAGAATGCATGAGAAAGATGAAGCGCACAGTCTTTATTTCTGTTCTCCTGAGGTTCGAGGAAAGCTGAGAGGTCAGAAGGGTCCACGATGTTTCTTTGCTCCGATAATAAAACGGAGCTTTCTTTCTTATGTTGAGTCTGTTTAAGTTTCATTCTTATTTTTGATACATCGCGGTCAGAAAGTTCAGTTATTTGTCTCACCATTGTTTTGCTATCTGTTCCCTTCTGAGAAAGACCTCTCCTTCCAGTCTGGAAAATCAGAGTGTACACTTGAGGCTGCCTTGGAAAACTGTAATTGAACAAACATCTGTTACAACAATATGCAGCTGCTGTTTTATTTTACAGTGTAGTCATTTTCAGAATCGCCATTTCAAAGAAAACCTGCAAGTTTGAGAAATAGCCTGTACAGTTTTATTTCATGACTCCTGCATATTTTATCAGCAAGCCTAGTGTTCAGTGTCATCACCTGCCATCTAGAAATGTAATTTTGGAAATGCTTAAACGCCTTCTTCACATGATCACCATCATTTGATTTAAGAAAAGGTCTGGCTGAGGATTTGAATAGTTGTACGGCTGGTTAGTGTGAAGTCCTCAACATATCTTCTTTTTCTTCCTTGCAGGTAAGATCGACATGGTGAAATCTAAGTGGGGCCTGGCTCTGGCTGCTGTGGTCACAGTGCTCAGCTCTCTGCTCATGTCTGTGGGTCTGTGTACACTGTTTGGACTGACACCCACACTTAATGGAGGGTAAAAACCTTTTTCTACATACTTGAGTGTCTGAAGATTACTAAAGGGGTCTGGTCTCTGCTCTTGTTCATCTGCCAGGAACAGCCAGTTTGGCAGCAGACACTTATTAGATTTCAGCCTAAAATTTAAGCCAAGGAATGCAGAGACTTTCAAAAATCAGGCAGCCAAGAAAACAGTTTAATCAAGACGCAGCAAAAATGTATTTGTTTGCATCACTGAGAGCAACTTGGTACTTGTACTTTCATGACTTATACTCATTGTTTCCCTTGATTACACCATAAACACCAAAGCAAGGAGTCAGTTTCATACCAGTCTGGCCATTTTTTTTAAAAAAGTAAAAAATTGTTTTGTTTTTTTGTTTTCTTCTCGTATTTGCACATAGAAACTAATGCATATGGCATCGTTGTATGTTAGTTAACTGAAGTAGCTTCCAGTGCTATTGCACTTACCTTCCACAGTAGCTTTAACTTCAGATTGTAGTGATTAGCACTTGAATGCTTCTTTCACTTTTAAGTGCATGAACTGTTTTTACAGTACATTTTCTTTATTATGAATGCTGTTTAAACCAGCCTAAAAGCTGTCTTCATGCATGCTCAATCGTCCAGGTAAGGAAGTCCTAAAAAATTCATTCTGTTCGTCTGGATGTAGCGTTTCCAAAAAACTCTCTGAAAACACTATGTCCAAATGAACAGAGTCAACTCTTTGCGGCAGCCTGAAAACACTTACTAGCTAATATTTTTAAGAGGTTGAAGGATGAGTTTAACTTGTGAATCACCACTGAAATTATGTCTGCAGTAATTTCATTGTTCTCCTGCTCTTATTGACATTCAAATATATCCTGTTAATGTTAACACCTCTGGCTGGCTGTCAGTTGTATCCTTATTTTTACCAGCTCACGTGCACGTACCTGACTTTTGACTTTCCTCTTTTTCTGTATTGATCGTACATGGAGTTCTGTTAATGATCACTTCATGTGGGCAAACAGCGTGTTAGTGGGTATGAAAAAGGAAGAACACTGTGTGGAAGTGGGATGGACTAAAATATGGGGCAGATGTATTCAGATGCTGACGTTTAATGGCTGTCCAATCGTGAGCTGTTTATTAGGAAGCAGACCTCATGGCGTGACAGTGGTACTGTTAACCAGCCACTAAGATCCATGCAAGTCCTCCATGGGCTGTGCATGCCCAGGCCATGTGCTTGCATAAACACACATCAAGGCCAACGTACCAAAACTATGACTGCAACATGCAAATCTGCCGAGTCATGATCGACTCCACACACAAAGCTGGTGAGATAGTGATACAGATAGTGTTGGGTGTGTGTGTTTTATTATGTACAGTGTTACTGAGTGTGTGTGACCCAGTTATACACTTACCTCATCTAAAGCTTATCTATCCTGTCAAACTAATCTGTCACACATACTAATCTCAGGGAAATTCCCAGCTATGTGGGCCAAGAATTTAAAAAAAAAAAAAAGAAATTGAACCCTAAATGACTGATTTTACAACTAAAAAAACAAAACAAAACATAGAGAACCACATATATTTTCTCGGTGCCTTGGCAGCTGCATTATTAAAGTCAGTTTAAAGTATTTTGTGTTTGTAATTTAAACAGAATTCCACACAGTGGTAATGTGGTGAAAGTGTATATTACCAAAGATAACTGTACTCAAAGTTGAGGGTATTTTATTTTTCTCCCTGCAGTGAGATCTTCCCTTATCTGGTGGTGGTAATCGGGCTGGAGAACGTCTTGGTGCTCACCAAGTCTGTGGTTTCCACCCCTGTCGACCTCGAGGTCAAACTGCGCATAGCTCAAGGTAAGTTTGGAGAATGTAGTTTAGTCACGGCTTATTAAATATTGTGCATTTCTTTATTTTTCCCTGATTGTTGTTCTGTTTTTTCAGGCCTTAGTAATGAGAGCTGGTCTATCATGAAGAATATGGCCACTGAGCTGTGTATTATCCTCATTGGATATTTCACTCTTGTGCCAGCTATCCAGGTAAGAGGACAAATGCTGGAACTGTTGAAGGAAGTGCACCAGGAGAAAACTGTAGTTACAGTTATTGTTATTAAATAAGCAAAGCATAATGCTAAATCAAGTCAGGTGGGAAATGCTTCTGTGTGGTTAATGTCTCTTCTGGTTTTTGTTTATTTTAGGAATTCTGTTTATTTGCTGTTGTGGGGCTGGTGTCTGACTTCTTCCTGCAGATGTTTTTCTTCACCACTGTACTATCTATAGACATTCGCCGCATGGAGGTGAGAAACGCATATGCATACTTTCATCACTCGATATTTTCAGCATGTATCGTGAAGTTTTTGTTTTTTTGAAATATATATTTTTGGCCTTTTAACTGGCTTTATTGGATAGATACAGTGAAAATCGACAGGAAAGCGGAGGGAAAGAGAGAGGGGAAGACATGCGGCAAAGGGCCACGGGTCGGACTCGAACCTGAGCTGGCCACTTTCAGCCATGCGGCATATGGTTGCCTGCTTATCCGACTGAACTAAACTAGCGCCATGTATAGTGAAGTTGACTTAAAATATGAAAAACGATGTTAAAAAAAATGTGTGAACCTCATTATTTCCCTTTAGCTGGCTGACCTGAACCGCCGCCTGCCAGCTGAAGCAGGTATGCCTCCACCCAAGCCAGGCCCCCTGCGTACACGTGAGGTACCCCCTCCACCGCGACCCTCTCCGCATACAATCACTCTGCAGACCCCAGCCTTTAGAAACTTGAGGCTCCCCAAGAGGCTGCGTGTGGTGTACTTCCTGGCTCGCACACGCCTGGCTCAGCGCATCATCATGGTGAGAAGACAAATTCAGAACTGACTGTAAATGTTTTTGTGCACTTTGCTGCCATTTGTCTTCAACTGTCAGCTTCTAATTCTTTCATACAATGGCAAAGACTGACAAGATCTGGGGTGAATGTCTGTTTCAGCTTTAAAACTAACAGAATAGCTTTTACAGTCTGCAAGCTTATTGCTGTGCCTGCATAAAGCCAACAATTTATGTAAAGATGCCTATACTGTAAGGTGGATTCGTTTAATGCAAGCATATACATGCATTAGGTTAAAATGGTCTAAATTAAGTAAATATCAGCTCAATGTAAAATGAAGCTGGCCACATATTCCAGCTAACTGATCAACATGACCTTTTATTTTTTTTTTCATTTTCAGGCTGGCACGGTGATCTGGATTGGTATCCTTGTGTATACCGACCCAGCTGGAATCCGCACCTACCTGGCTGCACAGGTGTCTGAACAAAGCCCCTTAGGTGACCCCGGGGGAGGCGGTCTGCCCCCACACCTGGGAGTGGCCCCGGTTTTTCGAGGTGGGGATCCTACCAGCACCTTAAGCATCCATCGTGCACCAGATCCAACTCCTTTACCTGAGAACCAATCGCAGGGACATCATGGTCCTCCAAGGGCGGGGCCCATTCCACAGTCCCCACCCGCTGTACCTCAGATCACCTGGGGGGAGGAGGATGAGGAGGGATGGAGGAGACTGTCCTTCAGGCACTGGCCATCACTCTTCAGTTACTACAACATCACTTTAGCAAAAAGGCGAGTGCTGCTGGAGAGTTTGTTGTTGTTGTTGTTGTTGTTTGTCAGTCTGTTATTTTCTTAATTGGAACACAGTATATTACACTGTAGTGGAGATCCCAAATCTTCCATGAAAGCAAGTGAAGCAGTTTAGATTTTCTTGCCTCATTATGATACTGGTGCAGCATAATGTGTTGATTCATTCCCGGCGTGTATGTGATGTTTCTGCAAAATGAAATGCTGCATTATGACGTTTATATCAACTCCAAATTAAAGATGGACAAAAAGAACCACTAATTTCTGTCAGCCATTCTCCACATGGAAAATGCAGCTACAAACAAGTCACCTACTTCAGTTATGTGCTTATGCGTTGTCCAACAAACACTTTCCCACTTTAAAGGTGTAAAAGCCAGGAACAATTCTTTTTTTTTTTTTTCTTAATTCTTTAATTCTGCTTCGATTTTTCTTTCAGCTTCATTATGTCCACTATGTTATTGTCTTTTTACAGGTACATTAGCATCTTACCTGTCATCCCAATCACTGTTCATCTGACACCCCAGGAGGCCATTGACGCACGTCACCCTCAGGACACGAGACACCCTCAACCACCCATTCTCAAGGTTTCTGCTGACTTACAGACAGACCTCACTCTCTACAAGTTAGTACTCAGAAAGACACCGACATCTACCCGCTTTAAGTTTGAACTGCCTCACAAACGCTTTGATAAACCTGCATGCCTTAAGGTGTTAAAAGGGTAACTTTTGATTATTTAAATCCAGCAGATTTTCCATCAGTGTGGCTACTTGAGTTGTTTGCCCTTACTATTCTAGAGACTCGCATTGAAAAGGACGTTTCTCAAAGCAACATAAGCCTCCTACAGCTCTCCAAACAAGAAATGAAAGGATTTCTGTGAAAATGTTGATCTGACCAAATATATGCATGTAGGATCTACAGGCAGGGCAGCTTACCACCTGTTGGGTCATGTTAATCCCCGCTTGTTTGGGTTCTTGTTGTTTTGGGTACTTTCCTGCTGTTATTATAAGTTCATGAGGAAATTATTTACCGTAATTGTCGGGCTATAAGCCGCTACTTTTTGCACAAGCTTTGAACCCTGCGGCTTTTAGTCAGGTGCGGCTAATGTATGTACAAAACAGGATTTTCCCCTGATTTTAGCTTGTGCGGCTAATATTCAGGTGCGCTTTGTAGTCCGGGAAATACGGTATGTGTAATATGTAGACACATGATTAAAGAAATAAGGGGAAATGCTGAAATCTCAGAATCCTCTGAATGCTAAATTACCTGCCTTAATTAGTATCTTATGAAAGAAGGTACAGATGAACCAGCTCTGATTGTTTTTATGAGTTCATATAATTTTTGTTTTAGACAAATTACAAAGAAACATAATCTTCTTAGCCTAATTGAATGAGTGATATCTTTTTCAGGCCCCGGCTTTTCTTAGTTTCACTTCAGTTTAGCGATCACTGTTTTTGCACATGGTTAGAAAAAAACAAAAACCTTGACGTCACACAGCTGAGTGTAAATAGGGGCCACAGCAGATAAAGGACCTTGACCTTCACACTTTGTACCAGTGTGTCATTGAATCGATTGCACCTTGGACACTGAAGCCTTTAAGTTTCTTCTGCAATTTTGCTGAAGTTGGAGCAGTGAAGTACAATAGCATTTAGGGCATTTGAGCCATTCAGGTTTAGTTTTCCAGACATGAAATAACATAATTTTGGACTAAAAGCTTTTTTTTTTTTTTCCCATTTTCTTTTCTTTTCAGCTGCAGTCTTAGTCTGTGTCTGCGAAACTGCTCTTGGAGGTCTTGCAAAGAGAAATCATCACACTTGGATTTTTCTTTTCTCAAAATCAAAAACATTTTTTTAAGTTATTTTTAAACTGGTCGGTGCTGTAGATGTATTTTCTATTACAGTATTTAAGTTGACATAACACAGAAGGGAGTAAAAGAGCACCTACGTTTCATGCTTGACTTAGTGTTCACTGTGTTGCTGGGCTGATGGTAATCTTCTTTTATGTGAGGTGAAAATGCAGTTTCTTTGTGTGTATTCTAATAATGCCCGGGGTTATCTGTCTTTAGCAAGTATTCATATTCTCTAACTGGCCAAGCCTGGCTGACTTGTTTACTTTACAGGCTTTGTCAGTGTTTTTTATGGGCCTTTTTTTCCCTTACCCTAGCAGGTGACACATTCAGGGACAATGGGCTAATCCTGTGTGGGAAGTATTTACTGTACAAGAATATCTCAGGAATTTCTTCAGTGTTAGCATAGACTTCAGTGATGACTTTGGTCAGAGGTCAAAGTCACAGTTAAAAATACAGTTTTAGACATAATTGCAGGAACTCTCACTACAACTAGACTAGCTGTCAGTGGCATGGCACGTTGGCGAGCACATTTAAGCTCACCCCCAGTCTACCATAGTACTTAAGGTACAACACCATTAGAAATGTTGTTAAATTGTTATTTTATGGAAATTAAAGTTTAACTTTGGTTAAAATTTTTGAATTCTGTAGTATAGCAAATCACTCTTAAGACTAGAAGTGTTCTTTTACACAACAATGATGAGCGATCGATACGTGCGTGCGTGTATACAATATCGGTCCAATAAAGCTGCTAAAATGGGAAGATAATGTTCTTTATCTTAGAGGGAGGTTCAGAGACACCGATTCACTGTCCTTTCCAGCTTTATCAGCTTATAACAGCCTCATCTATCTGCCGCAACAACACTGTACCGTGTTATGTAAACCAGTCTGTCACCTTGACATAAGTGTGATGTTTTTGGTCATCTTTGGACTACAGATATGATTGCTATCAGCAGTTTGGTCAGGGTCGTGGCCTTCACAGTTGGGAAGTGGCAACTGACATCAACACTGGTTTCGATAGATGGAAGGCCAGACTGATAAAGGTGTTACAAGGGAATTCTCTGTACTTTAATCTGGAGCAAAGATCTATACATGTAACAGACGAGTCAGCGTAGCCTTGTCTTGTTTAAGAGAAGTTTTGAACTGGATCAAGTCTCTCATCCTACTTTTGTGTGAACATACACGAGCGATTTCACAGACTAACACAAGAAGAGCTTTCCAGTGTTCCTCTTAACACAAGTTTTTCTTCTCTTTTTAAAAGAAGAAAAACTTTTAAAACCATCTTGATCAAAATCAACTTTAAACAGGAAAAAAGACAGATAAAATAAAAAATTGTGCAATCAGTGGTTAAAGTTAATGACATAGTTTGAACCAGTTAATACTGACTCCATCTCATCTGTTTCTGATTTTACCTTCGAAAACCGCTGGATGTTTGTGTGAAGTAACCGTAGTGTGTAATAGGTCTGAACACAGGATTAGAGTTCATCATCATCATTTGTGCTGTTTCTTCTTTTTTTAGAGTAACATCTAAAATGAGTTTATAAATAAAACTACATGGCAAGTAGTAAGATTCATAAAATCTTTTTGTTGTTGTTGCTACAATTATAAAATTTGATTCAAATATCTTGTGAAATGTATGTTTAAAAAAAAAAAAATCTTCCGAACTAGTTTCCTCCTCTTCATTCTCACTGCTGTTCATCTGTTTGTATTGAACAAGTTCAAAAATCCCACTCAGGGCTCTAGACTAACTTTTTGCCATGGGCGTACTGGTACACCTAACTTTTTAAAGTTTATAATAATTTATATAATGTGTTTTTCTGGATACACTGTGCTTTTTCAGCATTCAAAGATTGATGACACCGTGTCAGAGCACTGGCTATGAATTTCAGAAGGATCAGGCCTTAACTTAACAGAAAAGTTAGCAATAGTTCTTTTCCTATTACAGCTACATCCACTTCTGTCGTGCCTAGGCTGCTCACTAGGGCTGGGTATCATCACTGATTTCTATAATCCATTCAATTCCAGTTTTCAAAGTCCCGATTCGATTCAACTTAGCCTCAGACAGTCAGAAATATTATAATTCTGATCATTTATTAGCACTGACTTCATCAGAATTGTGAACATCACAGCAGATGCCTTTGTGTGAAAGTAACTGAGAATAAAACACAGAAAAACATGAAGGAGATTTTCCTGGTCTGGCTTTTTATAGCAGATAACCTTAAAAATATTCTACAATGTTCTGCATATAAAGTTTAAATTTCTTCAGTATTGAACAACAGAAAAAATAGGCTTTCTTGTCAGAGGTCATTTAAGTGAAAAAAAGATGACAGCCAACAGCGCTGTAAACAACGGTAGACTGGTGGGTAATAAGCGAATGAATAATACAGAAAACAGAGATTTGAGATGGGAAACTGTTCTTGAAGTACAGAGAGAGATAGAGAGAGAGCTAGCTGTGCATGGAGTGTGATTTTAATAGTCGTGAAAGCAAAACAGCAAAATTCATGACGACATTGATCAAATGTGAAGCGCAGTTTGCTGCTTCTTTTGCTGCTGGCTCGGTGAATTTTGGTTGGAGAGAGACAAAACCTGCAGCTCAGAATCAGCGCAAAAAGACGTAATCACAGCGCGGACCGGACGCATCAGTAGCCCTGCCACTACATCATCACCAGAAACCAATGAGCTACACATCTCCCTCACAAGTGGCTACAGTCTAAAACGGAGCTAAAAGAAAGCAAATATTTTTCCATTTATATTGTGAACATGAGTAAAACTGCAAATAAATGGCAATGTTGCCCCAGAGGTGCTGGATGTCTAAATAAGCAACTGTGTGTCAATGTTGGTTCCCCAACTCGTTTCTGCTGCCAGTAATTCTCCTGTTATTGCAGTTAAAGTGTTTTTAAAAGCTAACAGAAGTACACAGACTGCCTTGTTTTTATTTGTTTGTGCGTGAGTTTAAATGATGTCAGGGACTTTAGATGGATTTTACTCATTGGAAAACAAATGGCCAATAAAGTAGAGATTAGCAAAATAAAGAGAAACACAGAAAGTAGTAGTAGTAGTAGTAGTAGTAGTAGTAGTAGTAGTAGTAGTAGTAGTAGTACACCTTTACCCCTTAAAAGCCTACTAGGAGTAACCCTTAAAGCTCTTTTTCTGAACTGAGGAGTTTGTCCCATATTGGCCTGTTTGTAGAACAAGATTACTGACTGTGCATCAGATGTTTGTGCGATGTTTGTCTCCTTATACAGCTGCATTTCAAAAATCCTGGCTGTCAAAATGTTCCCTTCATGGGGGGAAAGGGTTAAAGCTCTACTTTCACATTACAGATGTGGGTTTTTTTTAAACAGAGAAAGTCAACACTCCTCTGCCAGGTTATCATCACATTAGCTCCACATTCCACAGTAGAGCTGGCACATGCGCTCTTTCAGGGTTTTTCTTTTCCAAGCGGTCAGTTCCACATATTGTGAGTTAGATTTGTACAGTTGTACTTGTTCAACACACAAACTATATAAACATGTGAGTGTGCAGCTGCAGAACAATGTTTTAGGTAAACATCGAGATCTGTTATCCTGTTGTCAGTTATGAACAGTTTCTCACTTTGCTGCTTGATTTTTGGTCAGTCTTTATACACGAGTTGGGCTTTTTACTCATCTGACTGTGAAAGTGTCCAGATAATATTTTGGGAAACTCAGCATCTCCACAGTATTTTGTGAGAGATAAAAAGTCTGTTAGAGATCTAGAGCTTCAATTAAAAGGGTGAATTCATGGAACAGATGACACACGACAAATGTGAAGTACATTGAAAAATTCTGTGAAGGAGTTGACGAGCATATACAGAAGTTCAGCTTCTGTGTGATTGTT